ATTCATGCTATATAAATCCTGTTGGTCAATCAGAATTTGACTGTAGGCCAGCCTCTGTTGTTGGAATGTAGCCACCTGGAATCTGAAATGGCTGAGGAATGCTGAACACTCTCCCTGAACCAGAATATACTGATTTGAGATTTTTGGGGTATTTCTTTCCCTACAAAACAGAAACAACAATTAATGTTTTGTAGAACCAGCTTATATTACAGACACCCATCTTTCTGTCTTCAATCCTCCTTGAAAATCTTTGTTCTCACCCAACTGCCCCATTTTTCTTGCTGCACTGCCTCAAGGGTTGTGTTAAATTAGCATTCTCTTCCTCTCAGGTTTCTATCATGCTCTGTGCTAACTTATATTTTAAACAGTGAGATATCACTTTGAAGTGAAACAAAACTCTGAAAAAACAAAATTCTTGGGGATAACAGAAATTTAAACCATCCAGTTCTTCCACCCCACTATTCTGAGATAAAGCACACTTGCTCTCTCTTAATCCTGATAGGAAGAGTATATGATACCCCAAAGAGAAATAGATTGCTACTTTTATTTCTTTGGCACTTGAGATTTTAATTACTTAGCCGGTTACAACCATGAAGGGATCTCAACTCAATTACAAGTTTTTAGACTTCTGTGTGGGGAAACAGTAAACAGTGAAAAACAGGACACAAAGGGAGCAGACTGCTTATGGTTTAATAGAAAAGCAAGGTGGGGGAGAGTTGCTTAGGCAATCCCTCTTCAAATCAACCCAATCTCACTTCCACAGAGATATTTCTCAAAGCTGCCTTTTGTACAGTGGCCGCAAATTATCATCTGACTGTGGATTTAGCAGTGATTTATATACATATGATTTATTTGTGGGATTTAGATTCTCTTTTCCTTTACCCTACTTTACAGGGCTATGGGGAATTTGCACAAGAGCATATTCATATAATGGCAATAGAAGAAAGAATACAGCTTCAAAAGAATGCTTGGATCTCCTTGTTCTTTTCCTATCAGAGATCTGAAGTCATAATGCCAAGGCTGCTCTGATTTTGACCACAGAAGCCAAGTACTAACATAACTGAAGATGGGAAAAATTCTCAAATAAGTGGCCAGATAACTTCAGCAGCAGTGCTACAATACTTGTGTAATTAAGGCTGCTTCTGAGAAGTCCTTGTCCTGCCCTAACAGACATTAACAGTGGGCATCTGAGAAGCATAGATCTCTGCAAAATCCTAACACAGGTGAAGATAATCCTCGTAATAATCTGATTCTCACTTATTTATGGCTTTGAAGCTTCAATTGGCACTCTGCTAGGACTAGAAACTTAATGGCCAAGAAGGTACACTTCTCCCTTAAATTACACAAGTCTGAAGAGCATGGTTTTAGTTACACACATTTTCCCCCAACAAATAAATAAACATTCCAATAAATAAATATTCAATAAATACTGTGTCCCCGGCCAGCCAGAACCTCATGAGTTCAACAATGAAAGCATCAAAGTGGACTTGTTGTTTAGTCCAGAGGTTCCCAACCCCCAGTTTGTGGCCTGGTGCCGGTCTGTGGCCTGAGCCAGACCAGGCCATGGAGACACACCTCCTGCTCCATCCCTCGCACACACTCACCCCGCAGAGCTGATTTGAGCATGCGCTCCAGCACCCTCGTGCAAGTGCCACTGTTTGCCCATGCACATGAGCGCCCGCACAAGCACTGCGCCAATATTTGCGCATGTGTGCGCATGTGTTCATTCGCACATGCGCACAAGCGTGGAGGTGCCCCTCCTTCCCCAGCCAGTCCGTGGGGTGAAAAAGGTTTGGGACCCCTGGTTTAGTTGTTCTTCGTGACCCCATCGACCAGAGCACATACACTAGGCCCTCCTGTCTTCCCCTGCCTCCTGGAGTTTGGTCTACCTGCCCCTAAAAACATTTTTGATTTAGCCTCTAGATCAAGGGCTCATAAGGACCTTTAAGGCTCATTACACAAGGTACTGTATGGAAAGGATTGGCAATGCTATGGAAGAGAACCCCAACAGAAAAAACTGTTCTCTCTCTCTCTCTGTTAATCATCTGTTTATATTTTATAATTACATTTGGGGGGCGGCCTCTAAGATGTATACATGGATTTTTAACTACCCATGGGTCCAATGTTTTATAATTACATTTCGGGGGTGGCCTCTAAGATGTATACATGGATTTTAACTACTCATGGGTCCAGCACCCCTAACCCATTACTGTTGAAGAGAGAAGTACTGCCTAGCACAACACTTTCTAGTTTTAAAAATAATTAGCAGGCATTCTATCCAAGCCACTTAAA